TAGACACGTGCTCGTAGACATAATACCATTAGACAACTACTCACAACTGGTGTTGTCTCGATTGACTACGTAAAGTCAAAAGACAATATAGCGGATCCGCTGACCAAAGGGTTAGGCAAAGAAGTTGTGGAGAAGTTGAAACGAGGAATGGGTCTAATGCCCTTGGACTAAAAAGTTCTATAGTGGATACCCAACCTAGCTGGCACCTAGGTTCAATGGGACAACTAAATTATGGAACGGAGCGCGTCACTGTGGGGGTCTCGGACTCCCTACCACTCCTCGTTAAAACAGTGACTCTCGCAAGAGGCTAGCATGTTAATGCTTTAATGATTCTTGAGTATGCGGGATACTCGAGAAAGAATCACCTATGTAAGAGAGAAGTGAGGGTCGCTTCAAAGGAGAATTGTTGGGCACAATTCTTTAGAAACTCTCGCAGAACCAGGAACGGTGACCCACGACCAAAACGGGCACACTCGTGAGAGCAAGAGCATGGTTGGGAGATTCCTGTGTGAGATATGTCATCGTCTACACAAACGGCAGTCAGTTCAAAGACATCGCGTTCTACCGTACAGCCAGTAGAGTAAACATGTCTTCACAAGGGAATGTTCAAAGGGTATAGTGACTCCCTACCTATCCTATGCAGGGATCGACCGTTTGAACCCCGAAAATCAATTTTCATTCATGTGGGGGATTGTTGGAAAAAATAGCTTAAAATGGCATGTTAAGTGGGTATTTTGTGGTACAATTATCAGTGGGGTCCACTTCCGATTTGGGTCGGGTCAAAGTGGATTCGGATTCTTCGTAGTGAGACGAAGAGATCGATATATTGTACGCTCAAAACGGATAATGGGTGAATGAGATATTGATTCTCAAAGTAGACCCATTTGAGTTGGAAAATGAAGGGAAAAAGTGAGCTTTTGTCCCACATTGGTTTGGAAAGAGGATTTTTCCCCCCTTATATACAAGAGCTCTTTTGAAACTTGTAGAATTGTATAGCATAGAGGCTCTCTCGTGCGGGGGGTGTGGTGCAAATCAAATTCCAACTAGACGAGATTGAAAAAGGTTTGGTTAAGCCTGAGCTCGTGTGGGCTGGCACCTGCGGGCACGAATGTTGTCCCATTTTCCAACATATGCCACTGGATGTGGTCGAAACTGGGAGTTTCGGCCTACACGAACCTGCGCAGTCTGTGACCGTTGGGTGTTCAATTCTTACTGTTACGGAATTAATTCTTTGAATTAAATCCAATCTTAAATTTTGAATTTAAACCCATGGTAATGGCTGCTGTTACCAGGTGTAGTGGGGGGTGCCTTAAAGTGTCCTATTAAGAGCTATTTAATCCTTCAACCCTATATAAAGAGGAGTTGGGGAGTAGAGATTTACACACAGAAAAACTGAACACGAAAGTTCATCTTTTTTGCCTCAAAACTCTCTGCTTCTACTCTTTCTTTTGCCTATTGTGTTCATAGCCTTGTCTTGCTCGCCGGATTCTTTGTTTGAATGCTCAAACATTGAATTACTAGCAAGTTTTATCCTGTGAAACCTAGGCCACAATGCTCCTAGCATCTTTGGGAGGTGGCAAATAAGGTTTTAAGGAAAGAGTGATCGCTTGACTCTTGCAAAAACCCAACACCAAACACAAGCCAAAATTCTCCATCTTTCCTTCCCTTGTTTTCCAGAAAATAATAATCCTATTTTTTGATTATTATTTGTTTTTTCTACCAACGGATCCAACATAAAACACTTTTAGTTTTTCACAAATCTTCTCAGCTAACTCCAAATCTTGTTCAAATGGTGCACAAACAAATGAAGAATCTTGTTGTTCCAAACGGTAAAAAACATCATTGTATTGCAATGCAACAAAAAGCATCAAAAAGCTGCTACGTATATATTGAACTGTGTTCCAACCAAGGTTGTCCCAACGACACCATTTGAGTTATTTAAAGGTTAGAAACCAAGTTTGCAACATATGCGTGTTTGGGGATGCCCGTATGAGGGAAGGATATATAACCCACAAGAAATAAGTTGGACCCGATGACTATTAGTGGTTTCTTTATTGGATATGCATAGTCTTCTAATGGTTACAGATTTTCTTGGCCATCTCATTCAACTACGATTGTGGAATCAAGAAATGCTAAGTTTCTTGAAGATGACATAATTAGTGGGAGGGATCAGTTCAATGTTTTGATTTCAAATCATGATTATAATGAATCATGTCCTTCTATGTAATCGGATAGGTTGATAATAGGTTCAAGCACCCCTCAAGTTCAAAAGGTATAGAACAATCTATTGAAGAAGTTCCACTAAATGCTGATATTATTCCAAATTTTCAATAGATCAACCAATTCAGGAAAATTTTGAAGCGGTAGTTGAACTGCTAACTTCTCAAGGATATGGTAGTTCAACATTGGGGAGATCTACTCGAGAAAAAAGACAAGCAATTCCTAGTGATTATATATTGTATCTACAAGAATATGATGTTGGAATAAAAAATGATCTAGAAACGTTTTCACAAGCCATAAACTGTAAATAGTCAGATTTATGGTATGAAACCATGAAGGAAGAAATGAGTGATGATAGATACCCCCTAATCGGGCACTCAACCAGGTATGAGGTCAACAGTCGGGCACGGTTGCCTAGGACACTTAGCAGTTCGAAGAGAGAGGCTTCTGTTGCATTGATAATTGTGCAAGCACTCGGGCGGTCTTCTAGCCGGCTCGGTAGTCGGCGTGTCCCTGTCCGGGTCCCTAGTCGTTTCAGATGGGTGACCAAGCTAGACAGTCGGCGTGTCCTCGACCGTGTGCGCACTCTAGAGGCAGTTAATTGCGGATTTTATGGAGATTCTTTCCTTGCATGCCGAATAACTTCCTTTTCTCACATTAGGAAGATATATATTCCATCAGTTTTGGTAGCTTTTTAAGTTTATTTTTAGTTATTTTCCCTCTTCTTGCCTTCTTTAGGGCTTAATTCCTTGTATAAATACCCCCTTGGGGTCACACTATAACGGATCTAATTTTCTATACACTTAGCGTTATTCTGCTCTACTTTCTTCACATATTCTCTTTCTTCTATTATAGTATTTTGCGATAGTATTGGCCTGCCAACCAGCTACCCCTTCTGTTGTAAAACAAACAAGTTCCATGTGGAGCAATGAGGTTTGGGACCTTGTTGAGTTGCCTAATAGGGCCAAGACCATTAGCTGTAGATAGTTCCAACATTGAGCAATACAAGGCTATACTCGTTGCTAAAGGATTTACTCAAAAAGAAGCAATCGACTACGCAGAGACCTTTTCTCCTATATCTAAAAAAAAGATTCACTTCGTATAATTTTGACTTTGGTTGCACATTTCAATCTTGAATTGCAACAAATGGATGTGAACACGACATTCCTTAATGGTGATCTATAAGAGGTGGTTTATATGAACAACCTAAAGGTTTCTATACTAGTGAAGGTGAGCATTTGGTTTGCAAGCTCAAAATGTCTATCTATGGTTTAAAACAAGCTTCCCGCCAATGGTATATGAAGTTTAACGGAGTTATTTCTTCATATGGATTTGTTGAAAGTCCCTTAGATCATTGTATATACCAGAAGATAAATGAGAGTAAAATTTGTTTTCTTGTTTTATATGTGGATGATATTCTGTTTGCAACAAATGATAAGGGGATGTTGCACGAGGTTAAGCAATTTCTTTCTAAGAACTTTGATATGAAAGATATGAGTGAGGCATCTTATGTTATTGGCATAAAGGTCCATAGGGATAGATCTAGGGTATTCTAGGACTATTGCTGGAAACCTATATCAACAAAGTCTTAGAAAGATTTTAGATGAAGGATCAAGCTATGGCAACTTCATTGCAGCGAAAGGTGTTTATTGGAAAGGGATTTTTACTCCGAGAAAAGCTGAGGCGGTAGCCATCCATGAAGTTTTGTGCTGGTTGAAGGAGCACAACTATGACAAAGTGCAAATTAAATCCGATTTGTTGCAAGTGGTTCAAGGTCTATAGTCAATTCAAAGGAATTCCTCCATTCACTTAGTATGGGGTGATATTAAAAACTTGTTAGATGAGTTTTCTCAAGTCTTTGTATCTTTTGTCAAGTAATCCGCGAATTGGATTGCTCATGCTATAGTAATACATTTTGTTTCTATGTCTGATTGCTCGGAGTGGTATTCAAACCCTCCTAACTTCATGTGTAATATTTTGTCTTCGGATCTGAATGAATGATATGCTTTCTTTCCTAAAAAAGTGTAAATTGTCCAATGGAGCCTAACAAACCGACGATGACAATTTATATTGTGGACTAGGGTCCACATAGCATCGTAGACCTTAGATCAAAACGACGTCGTTTTGATATTTAAGTTTTAATAGATTTTGTAGTTTCTCGTTTCTTATGTTTCAACACAAATTTTAATTTATTCTAGGTTCATAACACGAGACACAAAATTCAAAGCACAAGACATGTTATATATATTTACTTCCAAATCAGATTTATGTAGATAATATGTCTTATAGGCACATAATTTCATAATACAAGACATAAATTCGTAAAATAAGACATACAATATGTTGTGTGTTACACAACTACTAATTTAGGAACATAATCCATATGTTTAAGGTACTGAATTGCATAACATGAGACACAGAAACACATAACACAAGACACATACTTTATAGTTAAAAAAAAAAAAAAAAAAGCCTGTAACGTGAATTAAACAACAAATGATCGCCATCAAAATTAAAATTTAAAATTATGTCATTTAAAACCACGGTCCATAATGCACTGTGGATTCTGGTCCACGTATAACGATTGACCGACGGCGGGAGAGGCACCAATACAGGTCCAGCCAACTTACTTTCCCGTCCGACGTGTTATGTACTGCCAAACATTCTCGTTAACACGCCACGCCACCACGTAAACATTAAACCAAATCAAACAACATAGTCTTTGATTCTTCGGTCACTTTAGATCTCTTCCCTTTTTTGAAAACGTTTTAGATCTCTTCCCTATTCCATCTCCCTCTCTATTCCTCCCTTCCTTCTCTCACTTTTCTTCCTCTCTTTCTCTCTACTGCGTATCCCTCCCGGTACCCTACACTCCACCCTCAAACCCAAAATCCCTAGCCCCCTTTGTTTATAGTAAATCAAACAATCTAACCCCATCAAAATTTCTTTGAATTTTTCTTCTGTTTATCCTATTCCTTGTCTCTCTCTCTCTCTCCTCTCAATAGAATACGGACTGATCTGAATGGTTTTCTATTTTAAAACCGTATTAGTTACTCCGCCGTACTACTCTTCCTTCCCCATGCGATGCCCCACATACTCTAATTTTAGTCTTCCTGAGTTGTAGCCTCCATGTGTTCCTCGCAAAGCTGGTACGGCTCAGTTTTACACATCGCCCACGCAGTTCTATTCTCCTTCTCTCCAGGAATAAAAGATCGAAGCTTCAATCTTTTATATTGGGTGGGTTGTATTTCCAGCAATCCGCATGGTAAAGATTTGAATATTCATAGTTTCCACTTTTTTATTTATTTTGCAAGCGTGTGTTATTTGGATTTTCCTAGGTAGAAAATAAATTTTCCAGAGAGTTTTTGATACTTAATTCTGGGTGATTTCTGTTTTCTGATGCAAAAAGTGCTTGATTTGGATTTGTTATGCTTGGAAGTTCTCTCAGAAGAGTATTTCTGTGATTTTGATTTTTAGGTTAGATGCAATTGAAAGTTGGATTAATGGAGGAAGGTAAAGATCCACCAGGTGTAAACAGGGGAGGCCAAGTTAGGGTTTTGCCACAGAGGCTAGTACATTTACTGGGGCTGTTTTTGTTTCTCTGTTTAGCTTTTTCTGTGGTGAGTATTTATTTGATCAAGCATTATGGCGTCCATAGTGTAGTGATGGCTCCTTTGAAGCCTAGTTTAGAGTCCTGTATTGGAGAAGAGGCAAATGATCTGAAGCGTTGGATTAGGCCTCCTTCCAATTTGATGCACACAATGACTGATAAACAGTTGCTTTGGAGGGCATCTTTGATGCCAAGGGTGAAAAAGTATCCGTTCGAGAGGGTTCCTAAGATTGCGTTTATGTTCTTGACTAAAGGGCCATTGCCATTAGCTCCAATTTGGGAAAGATTCTTCAAGGGTCATGAGGGGAAGTTTTCGATTTACATCCATTCATCGCCATCGTATAAAGCTGATTTCCCACCCGAATCTGCCTTCTACAAGAGACAGATACCCAGTCAGGTATGTTGTTAATAAATAAAGCTTGTATATTCATTTGTCGAGTAGTCGAGTTCTTTCTTTGTATTGATTATATGTGGTTTATTGAACATTGGCTTACTCTTTAAATCATTGCTGAACCTTTTGACGCCAATATTCCATTAATTGAAAATCACAAGATGCCTATAGCTGAGGGTTTTGTTTAGTGGTTTCTTTTTGGGAGATTAACTTCTGTTTAATTTCTTGTAACTATTAAATTAGTTTTTGTATAAGTTATTTATGCTAAGTCTAATTCTTGATTCACTTACTTTCCTTTAAGAGGATGCTTTCCTCTACAACTTGAGGTATGATGCCTCATGAAGGTATGCAAGTCATGTAGGCTTTATTTCACTTCTACCAAATACTTGCAGAATTGATCTTCCTTTGCCTTGAAGGTTGTTTTGTCCAAATTTGAATTTCTTTACAAGGTGGGTTAGGGTACATTTATCGCCAGGAGAAATAGAACTATCCAAGCAAGAGTGTATCACCATGGGGCTAAGATTTAATCCGTTAAAGTTGCATGGAAATTTAATCCATTTGGAGATAAGAACATGACTCCTCAAGTTTTTAAAAAAGCCATTGTTTACCATTTGGACTTCAATAGTTACTAAGTGTAAAATTTTATTTGTGTTGGGGTACATAGTCTAGAAGACCTATGAAATTGAAATAGGGCAGATTATGTAGATAATTCAGAATTTAAAATAACGTGTGATATATAAGTTTGTGATGTTGCAGGAATAAAGTAGGGGATTTATTTAGTTAGATGCTTAGATCTCAGCTTAATAAAATCTCAATTATTTTGCCAGAAAATTTGCAACTTTTGGTGGTTGAAACTTGAAAGCAGACTTTAGTTCAGCCAGATTATTTGTGTTATTAGGGTATTCTACTATTTTTTTGAATCAATTATTTATGCTCAGAATGTCTCGTGGTAAAAATGAATCTAGATGTGTTGGAGCAAGATGTTGATAATACTTTATAGCATAAACGTAGTACTTTATAACAAAACTCTAATAGACAATTTGTAATAAATAAAGTAATAACATAGCATAATTGCATATATAATCAACATTTTAAGCTTTATATATAATACTTTATATAAAAAATGTAGTACTTTATATAGGAAACTATAATAGACAATTTGCCAGAAATAAAGTTTCATTACATAGCAGAATTTCAAATATAATCAATACTTCAAATTTTATATATAATACTTTATAGCATAAATGTAATACACATTTTGTAGGGAATAAAGTAATAACATAAAAGAATTGCGGATATCATCTATACTTTAAGCTTTATATATAATACTTTATAGCATAAATGTAGTACTTTATAGGAAAATTATAATAGACAATTTGCAGGAAATAAAATGTCATTACATAGCAGAATTGCAGATTTGCAGATATAATTAATACTTTAGGCCATATAAATGTAATACTTTATAGCATAAATGTAATACTTTATAGCTGTAATAGACAGTTTGCAAGAAATAATATTACTAAGCCCATATACCGTAAGACCCAAAATTTTCTGACCTGACCCATCTCACGTATTGAGACCCGTGAGACGGTCTCACAGGTGAATTTGCCAAAAAAAAAAAATTATAATGCAATACTTCCTGACAGTGATTTGTGCCTACTTGATAATTTATTGCAGATTAGTAAGCTTTTCTAGTTTCAGTCATTGGTTCTTATAGCCTACTTGCTGATAGTGATTTGGGCCTACTTGATAATTTATTGCCATTGTTAGTCCTTTAATCTTATATTTCTCTAATCTTGATATATTAAGCTGTATTAAGTTCAAACTGTATTGAGATAGTTGCCAGCTTTATAATATGGCTGTTGATGATAACGTCTTTTTCAATCCTCTATAGTTGGCAGAATGGGGAAGGATGAGCATATGCGATGCCGAGAGAAGACTTCTTGCGAATGCAATGCTCGATATCTCGAACGAGTGGTTTGTTCTGCTTTCTGAATCGTGCATTCCTCTCTACAATTTCACCTTCATTTATCAGCACATTAAGAAATCAAAACATAGCTTCATCGGTGCATTCGATGACCCGGGTCCGTTTGGAAGAGCCCGCTACAACCCGAACATGGCGCCCGAGGTAAACATCACCGAGTGGAGGAAGGGTTCACAGTGGTTCGAGATTAACAGAAATCTCGCGCTATATATAGTAGAAGACACCGTATTCTACCCCAAGTTCGCCAACTTCTGCAGACCAGCGTGTTACGTGGATGAGCATTATTTCCCGACCATGCTAACAATTCGAGCAGCAAATGACTTGGCAAACCGAAGTCTTACTTGGGTCGACTGGTCGAGAGGCGGGGCCCATCCCGCAACTTTTGGAGGATCGGACATTACGGAGAACTTGATGAAGAAGATGCTGGATGGCCGTAGCTGCTTGTATAACGGCAGAAATACTACGGTTTGCTATCTTTTTGCCAGAAAATTTGCTCCAAGTGCCTTGGAACCTCTCTTCGATTTAGCTCCTAAATTCTTGGGGTTTTGATACATACAAGTCTGAACTGGTATAGCAAGATAGGACACCATTGGAGAAGGAAGTTTGATCAATACAGAGGTTTTGTAATCCCATTATTTCAGCCTGTATGGTGGCTCTTCTGCGGGTTGGTAAATGTAGCCTAAATAAGGTAGTGTTTTTTGTTTTTGTTTTGTTTTGTTTTGTTTTTTTTTGTTTTTTTTTTTTGTTTTGTTTTGTTTTTTTTTTTTTTTTTTTTTTTTAAATAGTTGTTTTAGTCTATTAGTTATACATAAATTGTAAATTCAGACACTCAGTTTATAAATTATTATCTTATACAATTTTTTTCATTTAATTATGTTGAAAATAACAGTTCAAATCAATTACTAATAGATTTTGTTGTTATTAACAATTTATTATGAATTTTTAAATTATTAAAAGATTAAAAGACACCGCGGTAAAAAAAAAAAAAACACTGCGGTTATTTTGTAAAAAAATTTCAATTTCTCTCTATAAATCTTTATATATAAATCATTATATCATTTTCATATTTAAAAAAGAAAACTTTAGTCAAGGGCGCTAGCTGCAATCAAACTAAAGCGCTAACTAGAACGAATAAGCCACTAGGAATTCATTTTTCATTTGCAGTATTTGTATATGAAGACTCACGAAGTTAGTTTTGAAAAATTTTACAAAATAACCAATTTATTCTTTAGTAATTTGGGAATTCAAAATAAATATAGCAAAATATATAAGTAGTGGATTGAACGTGTCATTATTTGTATGGCAATTTATATCGTGCACCACGGCGCACATAGCAATGTGCGTCCAGGCACAAAACGCGTGCGTTTCAATTGCTGACGTCACTTTGTCCGTCCAAACGGCAAAAACTCTATTATGTTATTTAGTTAAAAGTTTCTGTGTATTGTGTTATGAGTTTTTGTGTATTCAGTTAAGAGTTTCTGTGTATTATGTATCATGTTAGATTATGTGTATTCGGTTATAAGTTTCTGTGTATTCAGTTATGAGTTTCTGTATATTCTGTTATGAGTTTATGTGTATTCGAAACAGATAATTTTTTTTGGGACAATATATCAAAATGACGTCGTTTTGAGAGGCGCGGGATAATATGTTAATCATGGTGACTTAGGGAGATATCTTTGTGTTGCGATTACTTGCAAACATGGGTTGGGGAAATCTTTGCCTACACTTCATAGGGATACACCTCCCACCATGCACATTACATGATATGTTAAGACGCAATTTGATTTTTTAGAAGATACGAAATATAATTTCGAAATATTTAGTATAATGCAACTTAGAGAGATTTTTAACAAATTACTAGTTTGTATATAATTAATACCACAATTGCATAAGAGTGCAAAATTGACAATTTTACCAGAGTTAAAGAGTACCTTTAACTAGTTATTTTGTTATTATTAAGGGATATATTTAGCCAAGATTTTTATCAACTTTTTAACTTTAAACGTTTGTTTGAATATATTCGATTTAAAATTTTAAGGAGTTTTTAAAAATAATGTGATATTTGATTCATGACTTTTAAAGAATTTTTAAAAGCTAGAATTATATTTTCTTAAAAAGTTCTTTGTGTTCAATATTTAAAAAGCCTTGAATATATATAAACTCTTCCATATTATGACTTAAAAAAAAAAATCACTCAAAACTTTTTATAATTGTTTAAACTTTATAGATCTATAAATTGTTTCTTCATACCAAAACTCTATTCAACGTTTTTTTTTCTTACCTATACTTTACAAACTTTTTCCCTTAGTCTATATTAGAACTATGTAATTGTGGTAGACTAGGATTCTATTCATGTACCTGTTATACTAGCTAGGATTCTAGTATTGTACCTGTATATATACCATGTACTATTATGTCTCATTAATCAATCTAATACTTTCAGTTCTCATATGGTATCAGCAGTTTCAGATTTCTCAATGGCAATTGGTTTTCAGGATGTGCAAGATAGCTCTGTTAGAGTCTCTTCCAAATGGATTGTCTCCAAGAATGTTGCCCCTGTCCCAACAGTGTCTAACAATTCTTTATTCACTGCCTATCACTTTGTTTCCATCGAACTCACTACCCGAAATTATTTATTCTGGAGAACTCAGTTAGTCCATTTTCTTGCGTGGTCAGAATTTATTAGGGTTTGTTGATGGTTCAATTCCTTGCCCATCCGTTGCCATCGCTACGTCGCCATCTGATGCCACTGTCATGCCGGTTTCAGCCGCTCCCCCGCCGCCTGGTTCACGTGAGGCATGGATTCAACAGGATCAAGCGATCCTCTCCATGCTAATTTATTCGCTGTCTGAGGAGGTGATGCATCTTGCTATTTGTAAAACGGCATCTAGACAGGTTTGGCAATCCATTGAAAATAGTCTTGGATCGTCAACCCGTGCCCGGGTGCTTCGTCTTCTCGGGCAACTCTAGGCTCTTTGGCAAGGAAACGATTCTGTGTCAGACTATCTTGGTCGAGCACATGTTCTTGTGGAGGATCTTGCCTTGGCCGTTCGTCCTATCTCTTTGTATGATCAAAATTTGTATGTTTTTCGCGGGTTGCATCTGGAGTTTTGGCTACTAGTAGCAACATTAACGAATGGAGATCCGGTTGCTCTTAATGAACTTGCTGACTTTCTTGTTACCAAGGAGTTCATATGTGCGTATGATGGTGCCCTTGGCATGGTTCCTCTGGCCCTACAGCGATGGAGGTGCAACGTAGTGGTCGATCCAGTGGCCGGCAGTCTTCGAACGAACGATATGGATGTCACAATCATGGCCGCAGGCAGCATGGGCGCTGTCGGTCTTATATGCCGCGGTGTCAGATTTGCAACACTTAGGGTCACACGGCTGCAACCTGTTTTCAAAGGTATAATCAAGATCCCAGTCTTCAGGCTCATATGGTTTATTATCAAGCAAATGATGCTAGTTCCATTGGACCACATAATTGGTTTCTTGACACTAGGACTACTAATCACACCATGCTTGATGCTTCTGTGATGTCGTCTACAACTAGCTACAATAGTTCTAACACGCTTCGTTTTGGAAATGGTTCAGGTTTACCTATTATTGGTGTTGGTTATGCTTCGTTTATCACTGAGTCTCATTCCTTTAAATTATCAAATGTTTTTCATGTTCCTGGTCTTTTTGCATTGTTATTATCTGTTCAAAAATTTGTCAGTGATAAGTAGATAACAATGTCTTTTTTTGAGTTTCACCATTTTTCTTGTGAAGGATCCTATAACCAAAGTGGTGCTCTTTAAAGGTCGAATTTCAAGTGGTCTATACACGTTGCCCATGTCTCATTCCAATTCTATGGCGTTCTTTACTACTCGTGCTTTGCCTTTGGTTTGGCACAATCGTTTAGGGCATCCGCATCATCGTGTCTTGAGTCAAATCTTGAAGTCATGTTCTGTTAGTTCCTCTAGTAATAATATTAGTTCGTCTATTTGTTCGTCTTCTCAACTTGGGAAATCCTCACGATTTCCCTTGCCTCGGGTTATGTCCTATAGTTCTCATATGCTAGATTAATATATACTAATATTTGGGGTCTTGCGTTTGTTACTTCGTATAATGGATATCGTTACATTGGTATATTTGTTGATGATTACACTCGTTTTACTTGGGTTTTTCCTATGTGTGCCAAAACTGACTTGTATGAAATTTTTGCACATTTTCATGTCATGGTAGAACGATCCTTTTCTTTCAAAATAAAGCCTATTCAGTCTGATTTAGGAGGAGAATATAAAAAGTTACATTCAACTCTCTCTAAATTTGGTATTGTTCATTGTTAATCATGTGCTATACTCACGAACAGAATGGTCGGGTTGAACGAAAACATCGTCATGTGGTTGAGACTAGTCTTGCCTTAATGGCTCAAGCGTCTATTCTTACCCATTTTTGGGACTATGCGTTTGAGACTGCAGTTTATCTGATTAACAAAATGCCCACTTTAGTCTTGGGTAATTCCAGCCCTCATTTTTTACTTCACCGTTCTCAGCCATTCGTTTCTTAGAGATTTTGGGTGTTTGTGTTTTCCTCTCCTTCGTCCTTACAATCGTAACAAATTAAAGTGTCGGTTTGCACCTTATCGTTGCATGGACCTAAACACTAATAAGGTATTTATTTGCAGACATGTGAGATTTGATGAGTCTATTTATCCCTTTGCATCTCCTAAAATTAAACAAGAACCATTGGTTACCACAAGTGTACCCTGGAGCGTTGCTCCCATTTATCCCTTTGCATCTCCTAAAATTAAACAAGAACCATTGGTTACCACAAGTGTACCCTGGAGCGTTGTTCCCATGCCTGCCGCTGCTGCATCCACTGCCCAGGCCGAGACCACTGCTCCGATCGCTTCCACCGGTCCAATTGCTCCAACATTGTCTCGTTAGTAGCAGCATCCAACCCGCACGCATTCCATGGTTCAACGTAGCATGACATGGTCTCGCTCGGATCCTGCTGCATTTGCGACTCAGGTTCGTCCTACGAACCCAACTTGTTACTCCCAAGCTGTCCAATTTCCACAGTGGCGTGAAGCAATGAATCTTGAATTTAATTCGCTGCTTCAGAATCATACTTGGCGTTTGGTCTCGGTTAAAAAAGGTATGAATCTTATTGGTTGTGTAACACCCCACTTTTTCTAAATCTTAATTACAAATCTAAACTACGATTGACATAAACTAAGCAGCGGATAAACAACTTAATAAGATAACTAGTGGGAATGTCACCGCCACAACCACCACTCCGTGGTGATTGCACAGGCTAAGGGTAGAACTAGAATAAAGATAAAATAACTTGCATCCATAAACTTAACTGAAAGTCATAAGGGGGAAAAAGACACCCCGAAGTCTACATCATCAAACGTCATCAACAACATAAGTCTAAATTCCAATAAATAACATCATAATAAAAACATTAAGAGTTTAGACTTCTGTAACTAATAGACTAGTCTAACTCATTCACTTCTCAACGTTGGGCCCACTTGAAAGGGGTTTTACAAACAACACATAGACAAGTAGGAAAACACCCGTTAGCACGAAGCTAAGTATAACCACACTCAACCTGTAAAGTACTACAGTATATACTTTGGAAAAACATTTG